AAGTTATGCCCTTGTACACACTGGTACGTAGAACAGGTTTGGCTGGGTGTTTGTGAATATAATGTTGGATCACAATATACACTGTTCTCTTAGCCATATTAGAGGGTGGAGCTCCACAGCCCATTCACTGGTAGAAAACCAAGGTCAGTTCTTCACGGCATAATGCAGGCACTGTCTATAGATACTGGCACCTGTTCCATCACTACCGGGCATTATAAAACCAGTAACTGCATACTGCACTCAGCACCAGCAGGCACTGTTAACTGCTGCTTGGGCAGGGCCCGCCCCGCCCTATAGACCACGTAGGCGATCGCCTAGGGCGCCATTTGATTGCGGGGTGCAAAAGAGCCAGTGAAAAAAATCACACTACCATTAAAATTTCACTACTTCTTTTCTTGTGAAACAGATGCGAGCCAGTTAGTTGGCAGCCGAATACCCTGTGCTACTGAAATGTTACTGAAATGCTACTGAAATGTTTTTATTATAAATGAATTGACAGAATTTGTGTTCTGCCGCTCGGGGGGGCGGATTTTTCAGCCTTTATAATTACATTACAGGTTTGAATTCTCAAAGGATATATGACCAAATATGGCTTCTGAATCTTTTGTATCGGCTTTCATGTTGGACCATCCTCACCGCGTGTTTCTCTGTCTGAGGCATCAGCATCCATGCCTCCTGTTCTCCCATCATGAGCATCAGCAGCAGGAGATGCATGGGAGTAAAATACAGGGGGGGAAGTTGTAATCCCCCCCAATAAATCAAAATCGGTTAATATAACCCCGCCACCAACAATCATGGTTCCCCTAAATGAGTGGAGAACTCAACCACCCCACCCCCCCCAATGTTCAAACCAAAGTTACGTCCTTGAGTACATCCATCCAACTGGGGTCGCAGGATCCTTGAATACATGCATATGTAATTATCAGCTTTTAATTCTGAGAATGCTTTCCAAAAGATCACCTTTTAAAGCTCCGGGAAATGAATATAACCAGTGAGATGCATTAAAGTATCCAGCAGGTACAAGTGTGCTGTAATGTGCATATGTGAGATTTAGGGGGGGACAGGTGTGGCTTCGATTAGCAGCAGCAACATCGTCTGAGAAACAACGGTGCCCTTTGGGCAGCAGATATGTCTGCTGAAGATGAAATTATTTTTTGTAAATAGGTATTTTCTAAAAATAAGTTGTTACTAGGTTCAGGCCAGCGAGCTGCTTCATAGACCCTAACCCTAACCCTAACCCTAACCCCACAGGTCTGCAGGATATAGCGATATTAACGTCTGCTAGGGAGTTAAATCAGGGGTGGCCAATCTTATCCAGAAAGGGTTGTTGTGTGTGCAGGTTTTCGCTGCAGCTCCCTAATTAAATTACTAATTAGAGGACTGATTGGCTGAGGAGTCCTGATATGCACCGGCCCTTTGCGGATAAGATTGGCCACCCCTGAACTAAAATAATGAAATACTCATCTTTTTACTAAACGTGTCTGTGAATATTTCTAATAAGTGGAACAAATTGGACAGTAATTGGCACTTAATATAAGTTCACAGTGTCTGTTACCAGTTTCCAGTCTGTGGTCAATCACTGAAAGACCCCCATTAATGTTTCGCCTTTCAGGAGCCGTCCCAGCAAAACGCTGCTTTCAGGCATAAAAACATGCTCAGAGAAGCCAAAATGAAACTGTAGTACTGGTGTCCAACTAGGCCTGGTGTGGGAGGGGTTTTTATGGTGGGAGGGATTTGTAAGCATGTCTGTGGTCTTACTATCACGGGCTGTCAAGGAAGCAGATGAAAAGGGCACCTGGGCAGTCTAGTCTTCTGCTGTATTGTCTCCACTCTCCATAGGTGATTTTACCGAGGGGACAATTTATCAGATGGTATTTCAACATCCATTTTGTGTAACTGCTTGTGCTATCCAGGGTTATAGGAATCCAGAGCCCATTCCAGAAGCTACAAGCAGAAGGCAGACTCACACCACCACAGGGGACACACTGAGACGGATCATCTGGAATCTCCTAGTAAACTGGGCGGAAGGAAACCCCCATGACAGCATGGGAAGAAGGTGCAAACTCCACTCCACTTCTGTCTTTAGGATGCGATATATTCATAAGCGATAATGCTAACCACCACACCATCCCTGCTAAGTGAACAAGTTATATTTGAAAATGTGACTGGTGTTCTTCATGTCAATGTCTAATAATTTATTGTAAAATGTACTGTTTTTCTTCTTTACAGATTTATTTATCTCACCTTGCACCCGCTGGGAGACAAAAGTGACCTATGCCACTACACATCCAGAACATTAACTTCTAACATCTGCATCTGACGTGGTTTTTTTTCCATAATGTTTTTGTCGCCATGAGCATTCAAACAAGGACAAACAAGCCGCAAAATATTTTATGTATTTCAAAAAGTAATGACAGTAACTGTTAAAACTAGCTATGTAAAAATTTTTGAAAAATGCATTCTTGTCATGCACATGTAACAACTATATTGCACATTGCAGTATATTACATCCACCTGCAGTCTGTAAAGGGAAAAAATAGATATGTCCTTTTTGAGTAGACCCCAGAGTTATCCCTGATTTTCACGATGTCTTATACCAGTAATTACAGTACACTGTAAAACAATTTGATACCATCTGCATTATGCTCCAAACCGACCCCATCCACTGCTTTTTCATTTATTTTTGTGAATAAAGTTTCCCACCCGCTGTATGAATCTGCCAAACTTATTTTCATGGTGACCTTGCACCTGATTCCGTGATGTGGTGTTATGTTCACTTGAGAAGACCCCCCTAGAGTTCTGACTTGGCAAGCTCTTCCGTGTCTCCAAGCCATGGAGGTGTGCAGCACCCGATGAACCTTTCTCTGTCTTCTTCTCAAACGAGCAGAACGGCTCGAATCGGCTGTACAGTCTCCTGTCCACTTTGTGATCTCTTTGGCGGGCATCGAGGACCTGGCTTGGTCTGGAGGCTGGTGCTACCTGCCGGTTTGTGGGAGCTCCGGAAGGCATGCAGTCCTGAGAGAGCTCCTCGGTGCTGAAGCGAGGCGCTGAGGATGTGCCCCCCTCACCCAGGAAGTGGTTTTCTCTGATGGAAAGTCCTCCATTTCCTTTTTGTTGGCTGCTCGCTGAGTTTGTCGTGCTGCCCTTCTTTTTGCCCACTTTCTTCCCCTCATCTTCAGGTGACCCCCCACATGTCTTGCTCTCCTTCTCTGGCTTGTTGAGAAGTGAAATGATCTTTTTTTTGAAGAACCTGGGAGAGCTGGAAGAGCTGGGAGTGTTGGAGGCTTTGGCTGAGGGCTCGTGGCTGTTTGCAGTAAGTGCTGTGGCTGATGATGTTCTGGAGGAGGGTGGGTTGAAGGCTGAAGGGTTCTTGTTCTCACTGACCTTCTTGACGTCATAATGGGAGACGGACCGCTGGTCTTCCTTAATGCTGTTCTGTGAGTACCGCTCAGTCCTATTAAAATCTGTCAGCTCGCCTGTGATGCCCTGTCCACTTCCATATGTGCCAAACATATGGCTGGATGGCTCTTTGCTGCTAATGTAATTGGTGTTGCACCTTGGCTCAGCTAAGCTATACCGCTTGTATCTTTCTTCTTGGAAAAGCTCTGGGTTTGTGACAGTCGCGCCTACCTTGCCTCTGCCAAGGCTGGAAAAATTAGGATTATTGTTTCCATTGTACATGTTATGCCTTGAATCGTCTAGGATCTGCAGACTCCGCCTCTTCATAATGAAGTCGTTGGGCATCCCTCGGTTCCCCATTGTGGTCAGAATCCTTGAGGGGTGAAAGCTTGTATTGGGTGGGGGGCCAAGCTGCTCTCCATGAAGCCCAGAGGACTGCGAGTTAGTGGTGTAGCTGTTAGACTCCGGCTGCTCGGGGATGGTGGACTTGAAGACAAGGGAAGATCTCAGCCGGGAATGCATGTAGGGATTGGGCTTGCCGTCCAGCCCCTCATTGTAATCGAGGTAGTCACTCGGATCCTTGATAGACGGTTCCTCATTGCTAAGGTAGGACTCTATCCGCCAGGTGCGTAGAAAAGACCTGCTGGTTCGCTCCAGGGACGGCATATTCTGCTGCATGGAGAGCATTTGCTTGTCATGCCCGTGGTATGTCTGCCTTATGTTGTTACCGCGGATATAATTTCCCGGGCTTAGTCGTGACTGCAGAGGATTTTCCAAGGCCCTGGAGAGGTAATCGTTTCTCCCGGTAATGCCAAATTGACCACAATCCCTGGCTACGTTCCATTGGCTCAAACCATAGTTCAAGTGGTTGGGGACATGCGAAGTCTCGTTCCTTTCTCCAGCATAACTGTGTCTCTTAAGGAAGTTGTTGTGGTCTGTGGCCTGAAGTTGAGCGATTCGCTGGTGAATCATGTGGCCGTTGGGTGCATGCTGGTTAAATAGCCCTTTGTCATGCAGTTCTTGATCTAAATCATCTACAGTATTTTTGAGCCGGGCCTGACTTCCACATGCTTTCATGTAGACGGTGTCCAGTGTGTGTCTCAGCTGGTCTCTCCGCTCAAAGGGTTGGCCATGTTTAGCCCCATAGCTCACTAACGGTCTGCCCCCGTCCGGCTTGCCTTCGAGC